CAGACGGTTGGAAGTCCTCGCTTAATTTGACCTCTTTCGGCCATCATGTCAAACAAAATCGACCAAGTTTTGATGCCAGATTCTTTTCGTAGTAGGGTTTTGGAACTCCCCACGATGAACATACCATATCTTGCACGGGAAAGAAGGACATTCACGCGTTGGGGTTCTTTTAGAAAGCCGATGGATCCGTCTTGATTGCATCGCACCAATGAAGCAATCACAATATCGCTCTCTTCACCTTGGTAATTATCGACTGACGAACACCTAACAGTRYCTCTCTTCTCGGATGCTTTTGTTCCCGCTAACTCATCTTGCTCCTCGCCCTCAAATTCATCAAGATCTTTCTCACTAATATATGCATCTATATTCTTTAGCTCCCTTCTCATGACACGAGTTATCTTTGACAATTGCCCCAAATAAGGTGTAAGTACAACTATCTGCTCGGGAGAGTATCCTTGGAGTAAGAAATATCTTACAATCTCAACACAAAGTTCGGCCTCGAATTTATTTGACTTTGTCGTACTACTTCGCTTTGCATCCAAACTATCAGCCTCCACTTCGTCTTCCAAATTTTCATGATCAATGAAGACAACATTTTCGTTGACACCTCGAATGTTTGGAAATTCCAAAACTGATTCGTGATCCATAAGGTTTGGATATGTTTGCGACCGCACGAACAAAGATATACTAGGTCTCATTCTGTGCTGTACATGTAGGCTTGCACTTGGAAGATCTCTAAGAATTAGACGTTCAAACAGAGAAACATCAAGATTATATCCACCTCTTGCAACTTTTGTAAGCTTGTATGTCTCGACCTTCGGACGGAGTTGCTTGTGGTCACCAATGAGAAYTAGATGTTTGGTATCTTTCGATACCCCGTCAACACTTTTAGAAGAGAGGGAAGTCAGAATGTGGCTTTCGAGAACTTCGCCGGCTTCTTCTACAATTATTACTCCTGGAGAAACTTCGGACAGGATATCACGGTATTTTGCCGCTCCAGATGTGGTAGCACCTATTATGGATGCATCCTTAAGGATTTGCATATCACTCACACGACGAGCAGTGTCCCTTTCGTTTGAAAGTTCCTTAAGTTCCTGCAGCACATCGCGGATGTTCTTTTTTGAAATCTGCAACACTGATCGCTCGACTTCTTTTATAAGCTTTGTCTTCTTCTCGATGGCCATTGACCAAAAATTTCTCAAACCCTGAGGATCACTGCTTGTTGCAAATGCAAAAGGCGGAATATTGCTGCCTTTCCTCCATTCGTTCCAGAGGTAATCCTGTTTCATTCGCTTGCCACCAGCTCCCACTATCTGAAATCCAAAATCTTCGCGAGGAATTGACAAGTACTCGAACTCGTCAGGAAACTCGTCCTCTAATACTGCCTTGATCCCTCCGTTTGGASTATTCCACGTAATCGTTGACTCTATTTCTTCCAAATGTTTTGCTAACTCATTGCGGAGTTTKTATCTTTGAGCATCAATCCGTTTGATAGTTTGATTTACTTCATCGTTATTTCGACCTTTCGAACGAGCAAGAACGCGGAGCTGATATTTTTCCAACTTCTTGGACTTGGTTCGAGCACCCAGGCGTACAATAGAGGTCTTGCCAGCATCGACCATATGCTCCAGAAATTGATCCAGAGCATGATTTGTATAGCACACACACAAAATCTTTTCCGAGCTATTTTCCAGTATGATTTGCGCGATCACCCCTCCAACTAGAAGCGATTTGAAACCAATATTAGACACTCAGTTTTGATTTGTTTCGTGATAACATTGGAATGAATGGTTACTTACTGAAAGTCTTTCCTGTCCCCGGTGGACCTTGTACGAGAGCAACCCGAGACGTCAACACATGTCRCACAGCCCGAGCCTGTGACAAATCTAGTGTCGATTCTGCAAGCAGCCTTCAACGCTTTGTTCCTCTGCAGCATCGTTTGGAAATTCGAAGCCATTGCGATCCCCTAAAGTTGGAAAGCGAATCACAGGGGGCAGGTAACTTGGCACCGTTTCTGATGGATTCCCAGACCCCAGAAGCTCACATCGAAAAGGGATCCCATCCAAATTTTGAAGAGCCTTCAAGATAGGCTGGTAAGCGAAAAAAGATCTTGATATCTCAACCATCTGATACGTTTTCATCGTGGACAAAGTTTCTTTARCGGATTGTCTGTTCATGTTATTCTTTGCAGCAACATATTCTTGGTTCAACTTCCTGTTCAGTACCATTTCTTCTGAAGCTTCACCAAATGCAACTTCATCGTCAAAAGAAATCCCAATGACTGGACCATTGGGATTATTTAGCCATTTGTCGCGARCATCATCTCGACTTAAAGTGATGATTCCAGTGCGTTTRACAATGCCTTCCCGATCGAGAAAGGCGACAACGGACTGAAAGTTCAATGCTTTTGTTCTGTGCCAGTCGGATATTGCTCTTTGTGGAGGATCTAGCTGTGTTACAAACGAAGTCTCGTCGTTTCCTCCATAAGATTCCATTCCGATAATGCGAGCATTGTACCAGAGTCGTCTCTTCTCCGAAATGCACGTTCTCATGGAACTCACAGCATCCTCACRCAACAAGCGAAAATTCCTATCCAGCAATCGGGACACCGGATCTTCCAGGATTGCGTTTTCTTCGCTTGCAAGAGGTAAATATTGTGGGACTTGACAGCGTAGCTCATCTGCCGGTGGGACCAAAGAAATATCGCGAAAGTTAAAGTGGTCATTGGTGTGACGATCGCCCGGTGGGATTCGGTCTGTGGCCACACAAGCAACTTCGGCCTCGACGTCTAGGCTTTCCTCCACACGTCCACGCTTCTCCATGTGCGCTTTGAGAGCGTCCTTCTCTTTCAGCAACAAAATCATACCTAACGTGTCAGCTTGACTGACATCACCGCGTTGCATTAGGTTTTTGGTAATAGTTGCAATGGACTCATCGCTTCTCGCCTCACCGAAAGCTTTTGAGACAAAAATTAGAAACTTACATATCAAGTCTGCCGAATCTGAATTCAATTTCTCGACCAAGAAATCTTGTGCGAGAAAATCAATGAAACCAGGGACTAGATAGATCGAGTGTAGATATTTCTCACGATTAGCTCGAAATAGTGGCTTGGAAGTCTGTGGGTTGATCCCATGGAGAAGCAGAGGTACAACGAGCTCCTCAACATCTTGTTCGTCGTTCAAGAATGAGAGAATTTCTTCCACTCDCTTCGCACCGTTCTTTCGTTTATCCAACATAAGATTAAGAAGTTTTGATTTTGAGTCAAAACTATCCATACCCTCCAAAAACCGCACAGCTTGGCGATGCCCCCGCATCTCTGCAGATTCGTCGTTSAGAAGCTTGTTGAAGACAGCTGTTTTTCGCCTATGGTTGTCACGTTCTCCCCATCTCGACATGGTGAGGCAGATTGGTTGATRCTTCTATTGGAGAGTTCGTTTTGAATATTTTGCAGTCGATATGAAAGAGGGTGTAAAACCGAGAGAAGTTTGCAATCAGAAGATCCCAAGCAGTTCCGCACAACGGATTGGTTTCGAGAGCGTCGCATCTTAGGGTTCTTTCGACAGAAGTTGAAGGTACGAGTTAGTAGTGCGTGCACTCTGAAACTCGTATCAGAGAAAGATGTATTCGTCTATGAAATTCATCGTAGGATTGTTTCCCAGGTGGCGGATAGAGGTTGCACAAAAATCTAGCTGACATTGTTGATACTGCTAATACTGTCACTACCAGGTAGTTCGCAGGGCCGAGACACTCAACGGAACATGACTTCTTGATTGGTTCCTGAAAATTTCATTTCGACGTGACGTCCCCTACTCTTACTTGAAAGGACGATGCTACGAAACGCACGTAATCGTATTCGTATCGTTAGTATCTTTTTGAGTGCGGTTWGCTTAGGGGTTGGGGTTAACGAACCGCACCGCACCGCAGTACAAACTACTACAGTACTACTTACGAAAATAGAAAATCGGCTGCTTCGCAAGAGAGATGAATAGAAAACTGAATCAATCAATCAATGAAATTGGTTGAAATTAAAGTATTGGGTCAATTGGGTCAACTCAGGGACGGTACTGTATTTTGATAGAAGCTTCCGCAAAAACCAACGTACAAATTACGTACTTACGATATCGTACGAACACAACCGGTAGATGCTCTCCTTTAGTACAGTACAGTAGAGGGATAGCAAGATATCATCGGAACCGCATCACCCATCTCCTTTCAATTTCTGCATTCGCAATCTGCAAGGATTCTGTCGATGATAACAATAACGGAAAACACTATTGTATGAGTAACATACACCAGATGACTTTAGCAGCTAGTTCTCTGACGGTGGCAAATTGATGTCACATTTGGTCGCCACCAACATTTTGATTTGATATCATTCACTTAAACAAGATACAGAAAAGCAGAAGAATAAGATGAGTGCGAGTCCCACCATCTCGCCCCAGAAGATATCACMGGCCATGATTAGACTCCCTCCATCCCCGAGTGCGAACGACATGGCCGTGAAGAACCATTCCTTTATTCCAGAATTTACATTAGACGACGATGCAACGATYATGYGTCGTGGGAATATCTCGAGCAACGTTGCTGTTGGAGGGCCGAATAATGCCAAAAACAGTTCCCATCACCACCAGCAACGGTTGCGATCCGTTGGGAAGTACAACGCTTTTCATCCGCAAGCGCTGGCGTGTTCCAACGATGTCCTCACGACGTCGTACGAGGATCATCCGGAATCGTCTCTTGATTTTGGAGGTGCTGCTTCTCTTGGAGCTATTGCTGGACCTCGCGGGGTTGCTTTGTTTCGACTTTCACGTCCGCACATTCCTTTGTTGATTTTTAGCCATGCCACCAATTACTCATCTTCTTTGACACGAAATAATCCCAAAGCCCGGAATTCCATTTCATCGCTGGCCTTTCAGCCCACCAACAGAAGCAGCAATGCAATCGATTCAAACTCGCTTTATCTAGCAGCAGCTCGGGGATCGGGAGTTTTGATATGGGATGCAAGTGGCCACAGCCCTAACCCGTTGCTCGGGCGCTTATTAAACGATACGACAAACGACACATCGATAACTAGCAGTGTTGGCGGAAGAAGAGACTCGGATACACGCATCACTAGTATGAGTTGGATGTCTTACTGCAGGGGGAGAAGCAGCAGCAAYAGTCCACTTTTGGCAACAACCACTGCATCATCTCTGTCGATGTGGGACTTGCGATGCCATCACACAACGGGCTTGTTCCAACCGAGTTTGAGATTCGGAAGCTCTCGCAATGCGAATATTTCCGCTACCTCGTCGTCTTCATTGAACGCTCCAGTTGCGCCCCTGGTACAAGTTGCCTGTTCCTCTTGTTCCGAAGAATGTGCTACCATGGACACCTCAGGTATTGTACGAACTTATGATCTTCGAAAGACAGAGGGGGGAGGTCGATCGTCTACAGTTGGTAGTCCGCTTTCGGTGTTTGTCGCTCACGAGGCTGGTGTAGGCATCGAGCACTTAGCAAGATCCCACGGCAACGACCGGGTTGATTCTGCCTGGGTCACGTGGGGGTTGGAGGCTCCAATGTCTCCGGCTGTTGTGAAAATCTGGGGAACGGCAACCGCACTGCCCCAAGACGACTCTTCCGATACAGCTGCGGTTGTCAATGATCAAGATCTAGAAGATTACTGGTTCATGAGCGACGAATCCCACAGAACTCCGTCGACAAAAGGTGGTACCAACAGCACGAGCAGCAACAACAACAACAGTGATGTGAAGATACAATCTCCAAATTACCAGCTCATTGCACAGTATTCAAGGCCAAATATGTGCTGCGCTCGAGTATGTGCTCCACCTGTGAACAATAGCCTCGTCATTGTTGGTTACTTGGACGGCAAATTTGGTTCTTCCTCGAGTTCAGCGAAGGAGGAAAGTGGTGGTTGGTGGGTTGAATTGATGTCGATATCGGCGGATTCGGGGGTGGAGAACGATCTTCGCAAAAAAGAAAGAAGGAATTTTGGTCTCAATCGAATAGTTTCATTTTCCGGCGGAGCAGCAAATACCGATGCCTTAACATCTGCTTTAGGGGACGACAACGTTGGAAGACTTCAGGCTGCCGAATTGGCGTTTTCATCGCCGATGGTTCCGAAAAACAACAAATCGAGAACAGATGAAGGTGGATTGAACAATATCGAAAAATCGGACGAAACTGGCGTGGAACTCTTGCTGTGTTGTTTGAGTGATACCGGTGTGCTCACGACTACCGCTATTCCTGAAGCACTACCGAACAATCAAAACACTGATGCRCAAAATAGGGATTCTTCTCCACAAAGAACATTACAGAGGCGGAATTTAATACGGACAGCTTTCGCGTCAGGTAATAATTTAGCAAGAGTTTTCCCTGAAACTAAGGAGGGAAATTCTTTGATAGATGTTGCAAGTGTGTGGGGTGCAGGAACTACTGGGGCAGATTTGTCACTCGGCCGGAACGAAGAGAAGGCAGAACAGCCAAGATCCTCATCGCCCGTAAAATTGATATCAACCACGGAAGACTTGCTGCGGAGTGATGGGCGCCGACCAGAAGGAGGCTTGATGCCGTTTGATATGGATGTTCCGGTTCCCGTTGCGTACAATTCTATTGGCACAGGGAATCTGGGTGGCATACAGTTAGGAATGACAGAAATGACCCCGTTAAGTTCGATGATCGATACATCAGATGACGGTGTTGACACCAAAGCTCGTAATTTGACTTCCATAATGGAAAACATAGATACAGAAAGAGTACCTTGTCCAAGGCTTTGTGGGGCCGTTTTCGGTTCTGGGAATGGCCGACTCACTATTTTTCGCAACGGTGAAGTAAAGAAGATGTGGAAATGGTATCAGAAAATGGATACAATTCGGTTATCAAGTATTCCAGTAGGACAATTAGATGTCTCCCCGACACCATCTTCGGATCCTCAAAATTTTGTGAGTAACTCAAAGACTTCTGAAGAGGCCGGGAAAMAAAATCAAATAGGTTCGAGCTCTGGTCCTCGCACCATGAAGGAACTCGTCGATATGGTAACTGCTGCAAAGGAGGTAAGTTTTGCGAACTTTGTGGAATTCTCTAGAATGGATTTTGAAAAGTATTTCTCACGAAACTGTGATGTTCAGGCTCAATGGGGAGAGGCAAACGATGGTTCTCCAGCAGAAGATGCTATGAGCGTGATGGATAACTTTTTTGAAGACGACAGCCTTGATTCAAATAGCGACGACACTGCTCACGACGATGAAGATGACGAAGACGACGAGGACGACGAAATAATGCAAGACGCGGATGAAATGTACAAAAAATACTTTGGGGGAAGATCTTGGAAGAGTTTTTCAGAAATTAGGGCTACGATGGCTCACGGTCAAAATGACGAAACCACTCATTCGATCCGTCATCGATCAATCGGTCCATCATCCGATATGCTCCAGCCCGTAGTGACTGTCAACGCCATATCAGATGAAAGTCGAAGCATCCTACTCGCTAAAGGTTGGAAGCTAGGCAGGTGGGGCGAAGAAGAGATGCACAATGAGATTCTTCCTGATCCCGTACTCAAGGATTCTTCACCTAATCAAATCCAACATGAACAGAACCACAAATTGGTGTCACAAAAAGGGACATCGCATCGTTCTTTGGCGCCTAAGAAAGGAAACTCGCCGTTCTCTAGAACACTCTCTGTTCCTAATTTGTCGAGAATATCAGAAATGAATAAACCGATGGGTGGTCCACCACTGCGAGAAAACATGGAAGAATCAATGACATTTCTCAAAAAACTCTTTTCCCACCAGGAAGAAGGTGGCATCACGTTTTCCACAACACTGCTATCTCCTCCCGACAGTAGAATATGTAAGTCATTTCACTTGATCTCGTTCCACAGTTCATTATATGTAATTACTTTTTTCACCTAACGACGACCGATTTTCGCAACAGTAATGAATCAAAGGATTTCTACACCTGGCAAAAAGACGTTTGCGAGCGGGCCTGTTGATTCTTCGTCTAGTATGAATAACTTAAAATCGCATGGACTGCGGTCTCCAGATACAGACACGATGCCTCTAAMTTGTCAGAAGTACGATGGGAGAAGTAGCTACCTTGACGAACTTCAAGAAATACACCAACTTTGTGTCCACAATGCTGAAATTTGCAAGAATTGCGATGAGGTCGAGAAACAGAACGTATGGAAGTTGCTCGCTGAGACGGCAATGCCTCAAATGAACGAACGTGGAAGAGATTTTAACGGATGGGGCGGCAAAGGCGGCGGTGCGCTTGGTATTGATATGATAAACAATTTCTTCGTATACTACGAGGCTCTAGGGGACTTTCAGATGTTGGCGACCATGTTTTGTGTCTTAAGTGGACGAGACAGAAACGAYAGAAGAAATAATAGCCCGTGTCTTCTCCCACACAGYCGCAAAAAAGTTTACTTCACTTATATAATAAGATATGGAGAGTTGCTTTATTCATGGGGTTTATTGAATACAAGGGCCGAGCTGAACAAGCATCTCCGACKAAAACACGAACAGATTGACTTCCAGCTCCCGGAAACAGAAGAGAAGAAAGAAGAGTGTTTTGATCTGGGAGTTGCTCTATCTTGTCCTAGGTGTGATACTGAAGTCAATTCATCGACTAACTATTGCCGCAACTGTAGAGACTTCGCATTCCGATGCTCTATCTGTGACACTGCAGTGCGTGGTCTTTTCACCTTCTGTGTGATGTGTAAACATGGCGGACATCTTCGCCATATGACCGATTGGTTTTCAAAGAATTCATTCTGCCCAACGGGGTGTGGATGTCAATGTAGATTCTCCCCTATGGTGCATGCAAATAAAGAGGTTGGAAATCAAGAGATTTTTTGATTCAAGTGCCCAACGAATGATCGTCTGACTGTCCTCGATTCCTTCTGTTCTGCTCAATTCTATTTATTGAACAAAAACGRATCTGATCAGGGTCAAGATAGTTGCAAACTCCAAAATTTCTTGTTTGCTTTACTTCCCGACAAAGATCTGGATCAACTTTTGCTTCTTYACATGTTCGAGTTTTGGGAATTTCTTCAGAAATTACATCATATGACCAGTCGGGTATTCCAGACTCCGCATCTCTACCTTTGGCTCTATCTGACATCAGAMGGCGCATGGTGTGATACAAGTCGAAACCAGTCAACATCCGGGCCTGATTATCAAATAGCGCTGGTTTTGAAATGACCAGAYTTTCAGGRATCAMWATCTCAGTCCATGGATGCYTGTGCTCCACCTGAAGAGCATAATCCACAATCATTGGACCTTTCTGGAGACCATGATCAGATCGAATGAAAATCACAGTCCGTTCCTTGTCTGCCAGATCAATCCTTCTCTTCAAAAATTGAACAAGATGTTCATCGTAGTTTTCTGCTGCTGGGATCGCCATTTCCCAATCTGGTGAATAATCGTGAGCTGCAATGACGTTTAAAAATGCCAGTTTCGGGCGTGATGAGTATACATCCCACATCTGATCTATGWATTGCAGAGATATTGCGGATTTTTCAAACTTTTTAGAGCAGCTGTAACCCTCAACACAAGGGTCGCTCATATCCACGCCCCATTTTTCCCAGCTGTTAATTGTCAAGTTTTGTTTTACAACCTTTCGTTCAACCAAACTGCARAAGACTTTATGCGATTGAATATCAAAAAAATGTTTGGGAAACACGTTTCCTTGTCAATAGGAGCAACAAGATTAGCATAATGATGTTAGTTGCTGGTATTGATTCAGATTTTTTTTTTCAAAAGATGTTTTCTACACCTACCTTGAGTGACGTACGGAGAGTGGTCGTAACAAAATTCTTCTCCAAAGAAGTTTATGTAGCCCTTTGAGTCCGAGACACCAAATAACCAAGGGGTCTTGGTGACATTCACGTYACGATCTGGACACCAAAATCTCATCTGGGCTGAACGTTTAAGTTTTAGTCCGTTATGTGCCATAYTTGTGTCATGGCAGATCTCACCTAACTTTGGTTGTGCCATGCCGCATGTTTCAAAGAAAGGTGCACTAACGCATCCACTAAGAGCTGCCACTTGATTTGGGATGGAATTTGCCCCGACTAATGATGTGTAGGGAAATTCTGCGGAGCAAATGCCCGAGGGACATTCAAAGACGCTATCGTCAATCCGTGCGATTCGATGTTTTTTCAGTAGTTCCCGAGTCTTTGGAAAATGCCTGTCGGCATACTCCAAACTGACCGAATCTAATTCCAAGAATATGATATTGATGTTGTCCAAGTGAGCCGAATTACCAATCCTTTTCTTCGAACGATGAGTCAGAACTYTGTTGCGGACGATGCCGATTTCAAGATGGATAGATTGGCCCGGACAATCGACAAGAATGAACGTCTCTTTAAACCTCTTGGGGTTTTTGCTATCCCATGGATGTTCGTTACATGGAGACCAGGGGCTYATGTTTGTTGCACATTGGCACCCTTTAACAACCAGAGCTCGTTTCATCGGGGTGTCATCGGACGATTTGACAAGCCGAAACTTCTGTTCTTTTGGTATATCCGCGTAAAATGATAGAATAGAGGGCGGTGCAATAAGCTCGTCCATAGCAAGTGTGCGWTTCTCCACGACATTGCGAAGGGGTGCATCTGTGGTTGCAACGGCAGCGTCTAGCCTAAGGTGGCGTTGCACTGCCTTCTCTATGTCTTCGATGTCTCTGGCGGTTAGTATCGATTGCATAAAGTAATTCAAGTCCCAAACGAAAGTGCTGTTTCCCCCCTCCTTCAATTTTGTCATRCCATGRTTGTATTGGCCAGTTTTCAAGAAAAGTACAGGCTGTCGTTCATTGTCACTATAAATTGCAACAATAGTGTTGGACCATTCCTCCGATGACATTTCAGACGCGAGACTTGATAGAAAAGCAATGATTGGAAGCTTCAGTGTACCTACAAGAGTCTCGGATTCTTCTTCCCCGTCTACAAGAGTTATGTATGCCGCCCATTTTTCTCTTTTATCTATTTTCGTTCTTATGAATTCTTCGACGTGATCCAAGAGATGCGTCGCAGCATGCCTGCCAAATAGACAATTGGGACGATCGTAGTCAAAACAAAACATACCGCTTATTTGACTACCGTGATGCGGGTGTACCAGCTCGTCATCTGTAARGCCATCCAGGAGCGTTTGGCGGTCGCATCGATTGATTCCACGGTATCTCTGGTGCCCACCGATATCGGAACCATTACTACCTTCCGACACTGAGCTCCACCACGCTGTAGAATTCCACCCATTGTTTGATATCAATGGTGAAACACGCTCCAGTCCAACATTTTTCAGTTCCGTTTCGAAGCCAGACAGAGAGAGATTCAGCATATTATGGTGGACACCTCTGAGTTCGATTGCCAACAGGTTTGGTCCGCGTTTCTCATTGTCATCGGCGGTYACGGGGGTGTGAATCTTGCTTTCTGAAAATATTCGATCGGGTAGGATCCGGGTGGAGCACTTGCCTTCGACGGCTGTATTTCGAATAGTACCCGCATCGGTGGAGTCATCCCCATCCGGTGTTGTGMGTTTCGTGCATCTCAGGCATGCGGCTTCCGAGAGAGAAAGGTTTGTGTGGCTGTGCCAGAGTTCGACAAACAAACTCGCACCGCGTTCCTCTTCCGTTGAGAGCACGATGGTAGTATTTGTCTCTTGTACCGATACCTTCCTTCCGAAGCAGGAAAGTTGCAACTCGTCGTCGTCGTCGTCCTCGCTGTCGTTGTGACCACCGCCGGTGCCATCGACGCTCGTTCCATAACCGGCAAACYGTGCATCGTTGCGGAATCGAAGGGTGGCCATCGTTTCACGATCGGGACACTCCGTGAACGGAATCCCCTCCTTTTCAATGTCCACCACGTGGTCGTTTTTGCGATCGGTCGTGTTCAGAAACTCCCTCCGGGACGGGATCGCCAGGTCGAGTCCTCGCGTGGCAAACAAGATCGAGTGAAACACGCRATTGCCACCATCKTTGCTTCTGCGGGCGTGGTTTTCTTTCGTGGCCAATGCCACGCCGAACACCAGGAATTCTTCGACGTCCCCCTGGTTCTTCAAGAGCGTATTGGGACCGTAGGGGTTGAGCCCATCGGTGGGAGCGTGGGACGACGACAGGACCTGGAGCTTGTACCCTTCCCCGCGAAACAAGCGGAACGTCTCGATCCCCCGCATGGTCGTGGCATCGCCCGAGCCGCCGGTGGCGGAGGAGATCCGGAAGGTTGCGTACTCGATCGATCCGTTCCGAACGGAATCTTCCCATGCGGGCGGGACCGCGTAATCTTCTCGTCCCYGATCCGGGTCAAAGACGGCCAGCAGTACGCTGCGGTCCGTCCCACGGTGGTTCTCGGTCGCGCCGGATCCCGGGTGGTAGTCGAAGGTGGCCCCCGTGTCCGGGTCCACCGCGATCACCCCGTGGGGACCGTTGCCAAAGACGCTCTCTACCAGAAAGGAGGGACCGATCCGGTATCCGAATCGTCGGTGGATCGCGTGCTTGTGGTCCGCACCGGCGGCACCCGATGGGTGATCACTAGATTCCCCCGCCTCGCCGAGCAAGCCCGAGAGCTGCCGGTTGGCACCGGGAGACACCACGAGGATCGTCGAGAGCGGTGGGTCGGTCGGTGCCGACCCACGGGAACGCTTTGCTCGTTGCCGGAGCCGCCGCTGCTGGTCGGACACCGGCGAGAGGAACCGCCTCGAAAGGTCGCGCATGACGTATCCAAAGAGCGACGAGCGGTTGGATCCGGGAAGGTACCCGGGAATCCTCGAAGCATCCCATTCCARCAAGATGTCCGGGGGAGAATCATCCGGTGGTGGTTGTAGTGGTCGTYGTTGTTGTTGCTTTGTGATGAAAAAGTCCCCTCCGGCAATCGTCTCGTACAGCAGGACCTCGGGAAAACTGCGGRTGTTGGCGTTGTACAAAATGTGGAATCCAACAAGATAGAGCAAGCACGCCCCAATGGCGAATCGTGCGTGTTTTGCCTTCACGAGCCGCCGYCTTGTCCCGGATATCCCTTCCTGCTGGATGGGTTTTTGTGGTTCGTTCATCTCTCAAGCAAGAGGCAGCCGCACAGGAAACTCCGCTGCGTTGTGCTGTAGATAGCCAAYCCGGTGCCGGCAATAGAGAGGTATGGTGTGCAACATTCCTTGTGCTTCCTGAGCAAAAACAACAACAAAAAACTGCTTTTTCTTGACAGGTCACATGGGTACAGCTAGTCTTCGTTTACGGGCAACAGTCCGAGTACTCCTACTGGTGTCCACTTCGCGCCACTTTCCTTCTCCCACGGTACCRTACGTACGTACTGTACCGCAGAGGCAATACTATTTTGGTGTTTGATCGTCACGAAGGACATTCACTACGATACCCTAATACGGTACGAAAAGTAGTATGACGTCTGCGAAGGTTCGATTTGTCCATAATCCATAAACTAGTTTTGCTTCGTAAAACCTTGCTCGTCGGATCTGTTTCCGCTCGGTGAAAACGCAAGACAGGCGCAACACACGGGTCCTGTTGGATTGGATTGGATTGGATTCTATTCTATTCTATTGGCACATTGTTTCGCGCATTGCTCTGCCATCCGCGTCACGGCGGGACCTGGATCCGATACCTCGGACAGATCTTGTCCAATCCCAGCAGGGATTCCATCCGTTTCACGGTTTCCGCGCAGGCTTCGTCGCCGTGTTGTTCTGGTTTTGGTTCTCGCCCCCGCCGCGACCCGGCCTTCTGGCAAACCCCCGTCGTAACGGCCACACARAACTCCCCGCCCCTGGMCTCCCCCTTTTGGGCAAACACGTAGTCCCGCCGCAGGTCCAGCGGGCCGTCCTCCGCAAAGCAGGCCACGCTTCCGATGCAGTTCCGCTCCCGGAGGGTCCTCCACTGCCCGCCGTAGCCAAAGTAGACGCCGCTCCGCAGGGAATCCATGGCGGTCGAGGTCAGGACCACCCCGCAGGGCGAGTGCTCCACCAGGTCGATGTTGTCGGTCGGGCAGAGCGACGATCCGTGCAGGACGTCGCAGTCCATCTCGGACAGGYGCCTCGGAACCGTCCGGCACGAGTTSCCCTGGACAAAGTCCAGSGACAAAAGGGGGCCGGCAYCGTTGGCCTTGCCGTTGGTKTGTTTGTGGCGCGAGGCGTCTTCGTTCGCGTTGGTGTCGTTCAGGTGGTGCCAGATCGGGAGCTGGTACGGTCGGTCGAACTTGTCGAAGGAAACCACCCTTCCCCGCGAGGGGTGGTCCCCGGCCGCGTCGGCCAGTGCCTCCCGAAAGAGCGCCATCGAGTGCCCCGATCCGAACCCCGTTTCGCAAACGGTGGTCCYCCGTGGCTCCTTTCTTCCGTTCTTGTAGCGGACGATGCGCCGGATGAGTCCGGTCAGGATGGAGGACTGGTGGGGGTAGAGRAATATCCCCCCGGACACCCTTGCCTTTGGAAAGTTCCGCTCTACGGTGGAGTCGATGAGCTCCCAGTGGCGGCGGACCGCCGAGCTGTTTCCAAAGACYGTGGTTTCGGTGTCCGCTCCGTTCGTGTTTCTGTCGTTGGTTTCGTCGTCGCACAGGTACCTGTGATGGGCATCGCCGTTGGCACCGCCGTAGGTTTCGAAGGGTTCGGCAACGGGGAGTGCCCACCCGCTGCCACCGGCCGCAACCCCGGCGCTCCGGTACACCACCACCAGGGCGTGGCACAGCGCGCACAGGGGAAGAACCACCCCGAAACAGACCAAGGCGCTCGTGCCGGCCCTCCGCGGTGGTGGCCTCCGCGGGAGGTGCCGGGCCGACCGCTCGGGAGGGGCCGTCGTTCCCCGCCCGCCCGCGGCCCGGCCCCCGGGTCTCATCATCGTCCCGTTGCGTTGCGTTGCGTTGCCGCCCGCCTCCTCGTTTCGGCCGAGAGCCGGTTCTACGGTACCAGAAAGTATAGTGCGCGGCCGGAAGGAAGAATCAGTCCCAATGGTTCTGGTCCATTATCCTTCACCGAATCATGGCCGTGGGGTTTTCGATCAAGCAGGGCCTCGGATCTGTTCTCCTCCTGTAGTGTGCAGTGTTTGTACGGTACGGCGCTGTTTTTCGTGCTTCTTTTGTTGCCGTTCCAAATGGATTGACTGTTTAGGTGGTGTGCATTCATCGTCCGGCGTACTGGTACGATGCGACACGTTCTCTCCGGTTGTGAAAATCGAAAGTCTCTTCTGATCTCTTCTGATATCCCTCCTACCGGTACCGTACCGCCCGTACCCTGACGTAGATGTACACTACGTTACGCATCGTACCGCGAACGGTGCAGTAAGAGTCACACGTCTTTACCGTAATGCACTGTACTGTACAGTACTACTTTGAAACACTCTCGGCCTGCGCGCAAAAAGRTYTTTTGAAAACACGATAGTTCCGATTGTGACTGACTCGAAAAAGTTTCTGTGAGGCTTCCTTCGGGGACGTTGACTAGTACCGTACGGTACSTAGACCAACAGTACGTAATGTACCTTGGTAGGTACGAGGCTGTCATTGTTGATGTTCTCGTGTGTCAAAAGATGAACCAACGACGATTCAAAATCCCAAAACGGAGGCAAGTCTTTACGAAAGCCCGAGTTCCCGTTTCTTCTACCGGTAGAAATCCGAAAGGAATACGGTTGTACACTAGTAGTACCTGGTACCCTATCGGTAACAAAAGTCTATCTCTCTATTTCGGCATGACTTTAGCCAGGAACTCATGCTTTGCTCGTTCAGTAATTGAGGTGGCAGCAGAAATCAGTACGCTTGTCGACTCCCAACAGTTCGAAAAATGAAAAGTGCATGATAAAGTGTAGAATTGGAAAGAATTGTTGCCCTCGTAATAAATAATGAACTATTCATGCCGCTGTTTAATGTTGTAATTCGAGTACAATTCCACRAATAGATGTTTTCCTTTGTTTGCGCCTTCGTCTGCGTGTTGCGTGTTCACTCTGGTATGCCGCAGTGACATTGCACTGCAGTATGTCTTCCGGGGACAATCTACAGCGGAGGATTCGGTTTGATTCGAATCGTTTCGCTTCGTCTTTGGCTTACCATCCCAGGGCCACCATCGCTGCCAACGACGACACCGTGGCCACCGAGGCGCCGACTCCCATCGAAGCACCGCTCGAGGCGGTGGGGGCCTCCGTGTCGGAGGAGTCGGAGACACCAATGGGAGCGCCCGACGGCGCCTTCGACGTGCTGATCGCCGGCAGCTCGTACGTTGGAGACGGCGTGGCCTCGACGGGAGCAACCGTGGGGGGGAGGGGCTCGCCGGAAACCTCGTCTTCGTCCTCCTCCTCCGGGACAAAGGTGGCGCAGTCGAGGGAGCAGCCCGCGATCAGGTCCGTCACGTTCTGGGAGAGGTCGGCCCCGGCGCTCGTGATGGTGCACCGGAAAAAGTCGTTCGCCTCCTGGCCGCAGGGAGGGCACCGCGAGGTGATGGGGCAGAGGGCGGCCTCGACGACTTCGCACGAGGTGATTTCGTCCTCGCTGGGGATCGCCGCCAGCTCGTCCTCGGTCGGGAGGAGGGTGAGGCACAGGTTGGACATGGCRCAGGGGAGGACATCCTTCTCGAGCTGGCCCATGCAGTCGGCCGGAAAGAAGTCGAGGAGGCCTTCCGGAACCAGGGAGAGGGCCATGCCRTCCGGGAGTTGCTGGGCGCTTACCGCCGGGGGGGACGAGAGCCACAGGGCCAGGAGGGGTGCGAGGCGGGACGAGAAAGGAGGCATGGTGGGTGGAGTAGAGTGTTGTATGTGTGTTGAGGGAATGGTGTTTGTCTTGCGGTGGATTGCCGAAGGGCACTTGCGCAGCAGGAGGAGAAAAAAGAATGTTTGTGACACAACGCATCCGATGCGTAGGAGTATGACTACTAGTATTAGTACTTACTCACGGAAGTGGAATAAAACAGGTATGCACGACTATCGTATCGTACCTTACGGAAGTTTCAGTACGTACAGATTCGTAGGTACAGTACGTATGCCAAATTTACAAAAGAAGATTTTTAATTTGTAGAGCATGTACCGTACGTACTGTATTACAGTACAGTACTTCGTATTATTTTTTTAAAAGACCATCGCGCGGGGCGAGATTCAAAAGACAAAGATCGAAAAGTAGCTGTATCCCGCGCAAACAACAGATCAATCGATAGTTCGAACGACACGTTAAGAATACCATACGGTACTGTACTCCCCTTTTGTCAGGGTGGTTCGAAAGTTTTGAGACAAAAACGCATTTATGTTCCGTTAGTGAGGCCCAACCCCAACCCCAACTATTTCTGGCTCGAGAGACAAAATGATCTTAGGTATTAGCTTCGGTCGGAAAAGTGGCACGAGACTTTTGAATTTTAAAAACTAATCAGCATCACTTTTCCACCTTCTTTCTTCCAGCAATGCTTCTTCAGCCACGAGAAGGCAAAACCAGAAACAAGGAGTCAAAAAGAATCTGGAAAAAGGGGGGGGGGGAAAGGCATCAAATTAAAAACAATGGGAACACAGGAATTATATTTTGTCGAAAACTTGCGCGACTTTCCCAAAAGCTTTTCCACAATTTTTTTTCGATCGATTAGTATTTCAGTTTCGACTATTCCACGTTACGAGCCGATTATCCCAAAATCCCCGTCCGTCCTTCATCATACAGAATGTCGTCATTCGGTTGAAGTCAATCATGTTGTTCGTCGTGTTCTTTGTTTCATACGGTACCGGTACAAAAACATATCGTACTGTACTAGGTACCGTACCGCACCGCACAGTACCGTACAACACACCACCTACGTTACTATGCGTGCTTGGTAGTATGGGCATCGTACAATACAACATCTACTATTCCGCTTCCCTTCTTTGTTCGTCGTAGTTCCCCAAGTAATAGAAGGCTACCGGTACAGTACATCTTTGCGATCCCTCCGGAGATCGGCAGCTATCGATAGGTCTC